GCAGGCCCACACAGAGAGAAGATCAGCGAAATCTCATTTACTTAGCCTCCCCCAGGAGAGTGGGCAGATCAGAGGAATGAAGAAAGAGAAGCATGTCTGTATCAAATGCTTTACAGCCTCGTGCTGGGATTTTCATTTCATGTCCTTTACACTTAACAGGATGTGCAGTATTTTGTGCTTTCATGTTGAAAAGATTTACTCCCATTACAGCAGCATCTTGGGAAAAATATTTGCTCAAAGTCTCCTCATCTCAGTCTGCATCGCAATACAGGTGGTACAGATCATCTCCTAAAAACAAGGTTACAGACTGACTTTATATCACAGGTGAGTGAACACTCGCATTGTGCTCTCTGAAAAATAAATACACTGAGTAAAACAAATAAAACTAAACTTATTTTTACTGAGGACCTTTCACAATTTCAAGCACATCTGGAACTTTTATGGCCCTCACCTCATGACAGAAGTAGTGGTTCAAGCCAGCAGCAAATTGCAAATTAGAGAGTGATGAAAGAAAATTTGTATTGAAAGAGAAGAAATAAAAGCTGAATAGGAAGCATGAGTTGCTACGATGAGTGTAATTAAGTGTGAGAATGTGTTTTCCATCCAGCTGGGCCCAAAGTTCCTCATTTTACATACTGTAACAGTTTTTCAACTCACGAGGCTTTGTGTGTGTCTGTTTGTGTGTGGCAGCAGTCACATTTGTTGGTGATCCGATATGACATAAGATGGCCCCAGGAAGCTGGATTACATCACCTTTTGATTGCCCATCCTATGGATATTTATAATTCCACAGCGGGATGTCACCCACCGTGAACAGGAAACAATGGCGAAAAGATCTGGTCATGAAGCAGAAATTTACCACAACATCTCTGTCGGCGCTAAATGGTTTGAATGAAGGACAGTTTGTTTCAGCTCCGGTCAGAGCAGTGAGGCTTGATCTGAATACATCTTCAGGGGACACTTTCTGGAGCTGGATCAGATTCAGTCAGAAAGTGAACGTGTCTGTGGGATCATGGAGCTGTTGTTTGAAAAATGACATCCAACTGAGTTTTGTTGACCTTTATTTTACTGAGTGTAGAGCCTCCGGCTGTGCAGCATAAAGGGTCCCCATGTTCCCATAAAATCACCATGATGACTGTCATAATGTCCATTGAGCTCAGTTATTCACCACCTCTGGAGCAGCGGCAGGGTTCGTCCCAGTGATATCATCACTACAGGCGGCTGTTTAGCTTCAGGAGGAATTTATTCAGGATCACACTAGTGGTGTACTAGTGATTTTAGCCAATTAAATGTAAAGTGTGTACACCTTTCATTAATACTGAACAGGTAAGGATTGATATTACATTTTGAGCTAACATTAATGTTCCTCAAGGGATGAGTCCTGATGACCTTTGAGATCTCCTGACTCTTCCTCCAAGGCAACCATGAGCATCGGTGTTCTCCCCGAAAAACGTAAACATCACTCGTTAATAAAGTTTATGTCAATATCACTTACAGACAGCATGTCCTAAATCTGGCGCGTTGGTTGGAACGCCGTCACTCTGGAAATCTCTTTTGTCATCCTCAGACAATTTTAAAATCCAGAAAGAGCTTCTAGCAGTCAAATCCCACCTCAAAAGTCATCACGAATGTTTGATCTGCTTCAGCTACACCAGTTCATAACTTCAAATCCACATCAGAAACTTTGGTCATGTCTCCTCCAGGCGTCCACCAGCCTCTCCTCCACACACCATGAACTCAAATTCAAGCCCCACATCCAGGGTCCTCAGCATCTGTTACCGGCCGTACAGCTTCCGGGTTCAAGCCCGATGTCTCCGCCCACCAGAGTGACATCACAGCTCCAGCGCCCCCTGTTGGTATGGCCCATCTCCTCCAGCCTCACCTCTGTAGCCACATACTGGCAGGTAATGATATCAGCCTAGTTTAATTCTGTTTAGCTCATCTGAATCAGGCTGTGGAGGAAAAGTCTTAATAGTTGTGTTGAAAGATCAGTTAAAAATCATGATTCAAGGCCGTCATAGGATATTGTAATGACTGTGTTTAAGGTAGCTTTAGGAGCCTATATGTAAAACTCAAATTAGTCTGGCTTAGTAAAGTTGATCAGCAGCTTATCGGCTCCCTCTCAACAGAGGCCTAATGTACCAACAATCCCAGTAGTCTGGTCCAAAGCTCAAGACTGGGAACAAAATTCTGAGAGCATGCAAGTAGTCTGGGTCAGAAAAGTAAAGTCTGGAATGAAGTGCCTTAAACCTGAATTCAACAACCAGCAAGGGGCGACTCCTCTGGTTGCAAAACGATGTGTGACTGGATAAAAGAGAAATAGACCCTAGTGCTCACTTGGTTTATTACCATAGTCACATTTTCCTAACAAGCCTATGGACTCTACAGCTAGTTTCAAAACTTTTTGAGTTTAGCATGATGTTCATTCTATATAGTCGCATTTAGAGTAAAATAGATGATAAAGCATCGCATGGTTTAGGGCAGGGCTAAATTGTGATCGACATGATGCTACTTTATCTGCATACATAGTGTGTTCAAGTTGACAATCATATCCACCCATTGTTTGTCTGGTTTCAAGAGACTAAGACAACAGTTGTCTGCAAACCGAAGGATGACGTCACAGTGCCTACATCATGTACAGTCTATGTGCTGCAGCTGCTGTCTGGCAGCATCCGTGCTCTATATGTTGAATGGACAGCAGCAGGATGTAACACAGCTCTCAGCCACGGTCTCTCCCACTAACAACCTCCATCATACTCAATAGGCTGCCTGCTGAGTCTAATTTCATCACTGAACGGCTAAATAGAGTCGATTGTAGCTTAAAATAGAGGAAGTGGTCAGCAATATGATGTGACCAACATCTGAAGCTCTGAGAATTTTCTGACTTCAGAGGATTCTATGAGCTCGCTGTGGTTTCCATTGTCGGCACAATTAGTTTTGTTGGTGTGATGAAGCAATGTCGTGGTCAACAGGATCTCCCACAGCTCTTAATACATGAAATGACCACGTTTATACTCATCTTTCCACAAATATAAATTTAATTGAAATGTTCCAGCATTGCTTTCTACGAAAGGAAATACAGAAACACCTAAATAATGTTTGAATGCGTTGCAATTCAAAGCCACCAGGCCTGTTCACAGCAGACATTTTGACCTGTTAAAGTGAGGACAGCATGTGTTTCTAATAACATTACCAGCTCTGTCCCAGTGGCCTCAGGAAACCATGACAATGATCCAGAGTGCACAACAGCCAGACCCCTGAAAGTGTCACAGCTAAGTGGAGTTCTTCCTTTTTTCTTTTTTTTTTTTGCTGTGCTTTTCTTGCTTTTTCCTGCTGTCTTCCAGGAAAAGGGCCAGTGTAGCTCTGGAATCCCAACAGTTGATGATCAGATCTGTCCTGCTGTCCTTGAATATCATCAACAGGTTCGGCTGTTTGTTAGCTTTTTGTTGTTGTTGTTTTCCTTTATTGATCTTGGACTTTATCCAAATTACAAGCCACCTACATCGTTTGGCAAAACTCTTTTATGATTTATTTTAAATACTCTGAAATGATTTCCTTTCAAAAGTAAAGACATTCACATACAGTTGAGACAATAAATGCCACCAGCTGACATGATCAGTATACTATACATAACAAACTATACAAACACAACACAACAGTTCCTTGCCTAAACCCCCAAAAAACATTACATGTTAGTGTTAATAACATTGTCAATATTATCTATGTGAATACTGTCAAATAAATAGAAATATTTGTTAGGTTCAGACCTATTTCTGTTCGGGCAGATGTCAAATTTTTTTCAAAAAAATATCACATTTTGAATTGAAATGGCTATTTAAAATAAAATGACATACATATATTTGTTTCGACCTGGCATTGCGGTGTTAAACTCTGTGTTCATCTTAACAACTGCTAGTTGTCGAGCCACAGCGGTTGAGAAATGCATTATGTGCAGTCACAGTCACTCACTTTGCACAGCAACACAAGAGACAAAATGTAAAGTTTCCAAAAAACAAACAGTTCTCATATTCATCTGCTCTGCGCTATACCATGATGGATTTTTTTGTTTTTTAATTATGCATTTGCTGTGCATCATTACACTACCAGCAATACATAACCGCTGTATAGCCGCAGTGACAGTGAGTCACAACGCTCCCACATGGTAATTGTATATTTCAGCGTCTGAAAGGAGGACAAAACATTTTTTCTCTCTTTAGGAATGCACAAAATAAAACAATCATTCAGCAGCCATGCCGCGTATAGTGAAGTCACTCTAACAGCCTCATCCTCAAAGATATTAGCACAGAGCGGGATTCGGAGTTTACGGACAAATACTGGCACAGTCATAAACCACATCAAACCACAAGCAGTGGTAACGCACTGTATATGCTTAAATTATTTGTTCTAATCAACATTAACATTTGTAGTCTCTGGACACGATACGAACAGTACAACATCAGCACATGTTTCATACAGTACATCCAGAATGATACAGTTTTACAGACTACAGTTCAAGAAGTCACAGTGGAAATAATCACAAAGGCAATGCAGGGATGCAGAATACTGTTATTATATTACATCCCTCCTCACCGGACTCCACACAGCGATCAATGCTTTGCTCTCTGCAGCTCAATACAGATGAAAAAAACGCTTTTCCACTGCAGGAACTTCTGGGACATTTTAGAGCAGCACGAACTTTTTGTCAGGATTTCCGACAACTCTTTCAGGGCCATTTTCAGGTGAGAAAAAGCAGCTACTCTGTGATTGGTACTCTTGAGCAGCCCTGAAAAACTGCTAGGTGTTGATGCTCATGATCGAAACTTAAAGAGGCGTTGCTATTTTCATGCTGTTTTGGCGCACTCTGAATTAAAGTCCTGGTCACAGCTGTTGGAGCCTGAAAAGGTTTATTATGGGACTGTTCCTGTAAACGTTCACTCTACCTTGTGCCTGCCCTGAGTTCCTGCAGTGGAAACCTGCCTATTGATCATCTGAATACTTGCCCCTAAAACAGCAGTTGTTCAACTCATCCTCGTCATCTGTTGATAAGTTACATAGAAACTGTCAAGTTTTCACATCAGTCAAAAATCCACCAAACTAAAACAGCACACACTGCAGCCCTTTCCCAGTCTGTCAGCTGGTCCTACAGCACATCTGATTTGATGGTGTGCCAGCGAGCGGTTTCGATTTGCCCCCGACTGCACATTTCCTTCCAGTGTCCCTGTCCCGCCTCTGAAGCGTCGCTGCCAATCAGCACGCGGCCCAGAATGCTGCTCTTGGTGTAGAGACGACCCTGTAGACACGTGATGATAAAGAGATTAAAAAATCTGAGCTATAAATCACAGATAGTCACAGAAATCTCAGCCTTTTACCATCAGGGCTTATGTAAAACTTTCTACCTGCATGATGATGAATTCAAGGACCAATGGCAGCTCGGTCATGTCACCAGGAGGCAGGTCGAACAGGAAAGGAGCGTTCCAGATGGGGTTTGGACCGCTGGCCCCTTTGGTCTCCTTGGTACCGATTACTTTCCCATCCTGACGCAAGTTAATGACAACATAGTGCTCTGTTGGGTAAAACGACATCCTCAGTTATGATTTTGTTGTATTTATTTCATTTTTTTCTGCTCATGTTATAATTAGATTAAACCATTTAATTAGATTAAAACGTTTCCCCCTACAAAGGTCAACAAACCAAAAGAAGCAGCTAAATCATTTACATTAACATTTTCAGTTGTTGTTAGTAATAAAAAAAAACTTCTCACTGCAGTGTTGTGTCATTAAGATTCACATCAAACGACCTACACATGCTGATTTACATCCTCTCTGACCTCCTCCTCCCTGCATCATCACTTGCAACATGTAATTTCCATTCGAGCATGCTAATTGGATTTACTAAAATTAAAAATGTGTCACTATCACATAAGAGTCACGCAAGGAGCACTTATTTTCAGATTTCAGGGGTCACTTGACTCACAAGAAAGACACAACCGACCAATTTGCCTCAAAGTGTCAGGTTAGGTGTGGGAAACCGAAGCATCAAAGTTGTTTTCCTTTTTCCAGAATCTCCTTTGCTCACCAGCATCATCAAAGCAGGGCTTTAAATCAGATGCAGTGAGATATGGTGCAGACAGGAGGGGAAATGACACCGGGCTGATGGGCTCCTAATCTGATTATATTACAAGCCAATCAAGGATGCGGTCTGTCTGACTGTAGCTGAGGGAACACAGCAGACTGCAGTGGTGCATGTGCTGCTTGTACTGTAAGTATACTAACAATGTGATGAGGGGAAATCTTTACAAAACCACTCAGTGAGATGATGGTACCCCTGGTCATGTAGAGGTAAACATACCAGTCTGGGATCAGGCAACAGACGCCATTAGAATTTCTGGACTGCTGTATGAAATGTCTGTGTTCTGATTGTGTTGTTATTTTATCTGGAAATTCAGACTATCCCAAATCAAGTTACATAGATTTATGGAGGGACGTGGTGAGAGGGAGATGAGCTTTCTGCAAATGTTTGAAATGACAAAGTATTAAAATATGTAGTAATAAAGTAAAATTTAAGTCCATTCTTAATGCTGCTTTACTCAATATTTTATAGTCGCAACAAACCACATGAATACCTCTTTATGAAAGTAGAGGAAAACACCAAAGAGACTTATCACATGACGCAGCACTTCACCTCATCTCTACAGAGATTCACAGCAGCTTTCAGCTCATTGTGTTGGTTCTTAAGTCCACATCCTGGTTGACTGATTGCATCAACTTTGTGTCCAGCAAGAAAATAACTTGACTGTACGCTGCTTATTCAGTATCAAACACCTGACGAAGACAGCAATTATCTGGTGAAAGTAATGAAGCATTTAGCAGCTAAGGAGTCAGATATGTCCCACGGTGATTAGTGGAGAGTGAATAGCACTACAAAAAGAGTCAGATTAATGCTAATGTATCTGCTGGATGTGTCTGAAGGTTATACTTCTATTTAATACGTTTAAAGAACCGTGGACATAATGTGAGTTTCCAATGAGGCTTTTGCAGAAAAACTTGTAGAGATTAAACTCCACCAGGTCCACTGATCAAGGACTATTGTTAATGCAGCAGATTACAAGCATAAAATACTTCTTCTGGGGAAAAAAACTGAGTTGACTGTTAACTTGTCAAAGAAAGTGCCTTTGTGCTGCCTGTGTGTGTTATTTTGAGTGATGGTGCTTAATAACTGGTGGTAACTTCTGCAGAAATGATTCCTAACCCATTGTTTTCTTATTTTAACACCCAAACCAGTGTTAACAAAAAACTATGTTAGTTTCTTTTAATTATTACCATAAACCTTTCCTAAGCTTCTTATAACATTTAACCAGACCTTTATCATAAAAGTGACTGTTAGGTGTACGAGATCTGGAAAAACTAATGCATTAAATAAGACAATGACCACCAGTTTATTCCATTCCTTAGATATGATGCATTGTTTCACCTGGAGCTCCTGGGATCCGTGTGAGCTTGGCCAGATTCTCAGCCTTTCGAACCATCACCTTGATGCGCTGGGCCAGCGTCTGGTACTGCAGCAGGATGAAGAGTTGCCCCAAAGCCCGCGGCACACACACCGAGCTCTTCCTGCGGCCCAACGTTTCCTGAGAACTCACACTCTGAGGGTGGGAAAGAGAACAAAGAACAACAGAAGATTAAGAAAAAATGTTATAGATTTAGCGAAAAGGGAAAAAGATTTTTTTTTCTTTTACTCAGCAGATGTTAACTTCATACTTTAAGAGGCTGGGAATAAAATAAAACCAAGGAAAGAGCTGATTCAAGCAGTAAAGCACAGAAATCTCATTGGTCATGATTGTGCTTTTGTCAGTGAATGAGACTCCGATACTCCGAGTCAATGTTTCGTTCCCCATCAAAGGGTTTCACTGTGAGTCACTGCCAGTCAAAGTAAGAGTTAAATCAATTTTTCTTCCTCACTACAGAATAACTGCAAGGCTTCTTGACTCGAGGAGCTCAGCATGGCTAAATCTGTATCACATCTTCAGTCACTTAGAGCTAACCGGTGATATAGGCTGTCTTCACATGTAGCTGCCAGGTTTACGGATTTCATTTGACCTCCCGTCCTACAATAATAGAAACATTCATGCTCTTAGTCACTCTGTGTAAAAGGCAAAGCTCATGTGTGAGCTGATGGTAATTTCCATCTGATTTCACGTCAGCTCTCATTAGCTTGTATTGTTTTTGGGGTCCGGTGAGTCACATTCTGCTGTCAGCTGGCTGAGCGTTCGCCCGCCAGCGACTCGCCGAGGCCAAGGAGCGGAGTGTGAAGACGGTTTTGTCCAGCAAGTGGGTTCCGGTTCACTGCCTCTGTCTGTCACTAACACTTCACCTCAGAGAGCATCGCTTACACCGCCTTTTAGAAGGAGAGACGTTATTCCGCAGACGAAGAAACCTTAAAGTGACAGAGGCTTGTTCAATGCGAGAAGTTCTTTAGATGGTAATAGTCATTTCATAGGCTGAGGGTTGTTCCTTCAAATACAAGACTGTTTCAAAGGAGACAACTACAATGGGGCTATTGATGCAACTCTGGACTGAAAGTTTCCAACAGCTGGTACAACCACCAAGCAGTCAAGATTCATTGCTGCTTCACCTGTTTTTCTTTTTCTCCAAAACTGCAACTTTAAATTTGAGGTTGTCAGGTTTGAGGTTAGTTTCTGCAATCAGGCTGTGCAAGCATATACTTATCAGAATTGACTTTTATTTTTAAAAAAATACTTGCATTAAAAAGGCAAACTTAAGTCTAAATTAAACAAATGGCGATGTAGTGTTCGTGATAATAGGCCGCTCAAGTCTGTTGTTATTTTGTGACTCTGTGAACTCTTGATATCTTGAGTTACATAACCAACTCAAACACACTGATTCTATGAGTCATTCAGGGATCCACAAAGCGTTGAAGCCTTAAAAGACAGCGGAGCAAGAAATATAAGATCGGCACACATTTCCCTCAAAACGTATTTATTTATGCAGGAATGACTGACTGAACCTTCACACCTCGTCAGCAATAACTCCATATTCACGCTTATTTATGCTACATGCTCAGTACACTAGTACAGGCTTTGTCTATCACACATAAATCAACCAGGCAACCTCACCTCAAAGGTTTTTACAGGATGCCTGCATGTCAGTGAATAGGAAACTAACTGAAGTGATGAATACATACTCCAGCTGTATATTGTCACTGAATTAGTTTTATAAACTTTCTTCACTCTGCTGTAGGACTAAAATGTAAAATATCTGCCAGTAATGTTGAGTATGAAACTCTAACTCTGAGGTCTTGTGCCACTTTGCCAAGTGAACCAAGCAAAAAAAAAAGGGTTGGTTTTTTTTAATCATCAATGGGAGCATGTTTTCAGCTCGGAAGCTGAAATACGCCACTCTGGTACTGAAGCCCTGAATTGTGTGGAATTGAAGCAAATGAGAGTCCAAATATAAAAGCAGAACATCTACTGCAGCAGACTAAGAAGACCCAGACAATTATCTCAATTATTGGTCAGGGACAAAAAAACAACATGTGAACAGTTGGCGGGTGAATTCCAGGAGGATCAGAATGATGCTGCAACGGAGCATAAAACTGTTACGGACAAAATGTAGTGATATCTTGGATGTACTGTATGTACATCACTTAATCCTTGTCAGTTTATGTAGATTATAGATTTGTCATGTGAACAGTGTATAATGTTTTTCATATTCTTATTCCTACCCTCAATGACTGTCCATAAAAAAGAAGTTTGTGGCCTTTTGCCAAAGAGGGTATATGACTGTAATTAAAGTAAAGCTGCATCGGCCTGATCACTCAGCTTTCGCTAAATTTCTGCCACGTCATGCCTCCCAATTCCTATGAAATGTCAAAACAAGTAATGTAATGCAGATGAATAATCATCAATACTCCAGCTGGTTCCATTCCACTGATTAAAAAACCTGCCGTTTTACGATCAATCCAGCACGTGATGACATTTAAAGTCACGAGCGCACAGCCTCTGTACTCACACCCACTCTTTAAAGAATTATTCAGAATGCTGAGCCGCCCAGCTCGTTCTCAGCAACCTCCTGCTGCACATCCACACACATTCACACCAGGCAGCTGTTGTCACCGAGAGAGAGGAAGGTGTACAGAAACAGATGGACGTGAAAGGAGGAACCGGAGTGAGTACGCGTCACTCTGACTTTCACTTAACTGTTAAATGAGCAATGTGATGATGGCTGTGAAAAGAAAAGAACACAGAATGTCTCAGATTGACTAAGCAATGTCCACTGAAACATCAGGCCCACCTCCCGTCAAAAGCCTCTTATTAATGCTTTCTGGCAGAGTTTCAGCAGTGCCGCAGAGGGCACGGCGTGGGCAGACCGCCAATTTGTTGCACTTGGCTTGTTTGCTCAGCAGTCGCCAACAACAAAGTCACCATGACTGACAACAGTGGAAAACTGGCTAATGGGAGAGCTGATTAGACGCTACATTCCTTCATGGATATGTGTTAGCGTAGTGCATGCGTAGGTTCACTAACCGCTAAATTGACTGAAACTAAAGGCTTTGTTTGTGAAAACTTTTTAAAAAAGAGATACAGTATATTCAGGACCAGTGTAAAAGTACAATGGAGTTACAATCCCAATCAGCCAAACACAGAAACACACAAACGTACACCCACGTGCACATATGCACATACACACACACACCAACACACACACACCTACACACACACACAAAAGCCCATAGTCCACCCTGCATTAATCTGCACTTGAAGTCCTTGGGAGGACACCTGATAAACTCAGACCTGATCCAGCAAACACTACGTCTCTCATTCTCCTGTTGCAGTTTATTTGGTTTTCTGTGTAGTCTGACTGAACCTGGCCAAGCAAAAATGAACAAGACTCAAAAGGATATTATGAATGCGTGTTGTGGCATAGGCAGCCTCTTTGGCAACCGATTACTTTTAATGACTTGCTTGTGTTGCATCATAGATTTTCTGACGTGTGCATGATGTAGATTTCTGATACTACATGGATCTATCTGCAGATGTCTACATGCTGCCCAGTTTAGCTATTCATGCTTGCCAGCATTGTGAATGTGCAGAATACATAGATGCCAATCTACGATGACTCTAAGGATAGAGTCCTCTAAGTGGGCTAGTATAATAATTATGATGCAATCGTGGTATCCACAGATATTTGTGGTTACATCCGCAAGACGGTATAATCAAGGCTTGACACTGGCGTTAACCTGCCCTTTGTCTTCATTGTGTGCTCAGCAGTATTCAACTCCTGAATGCAGTTTAGAGGTAACCACTGATCAATAAGATTTTTTAGACTTGTTTGGGTTTGATCGTGTAAGCTACCAAGGCCTCTGTATGCTCAGAACAAACTGGAAGCACTCCTACTAGACTGTGCAGTTCTTCGTGCCTGTTTAAGCGAAGGTCCAGGTCATCTATCCCGGTGATTTGGGCTCAGTTTTGACTGTGTTTTGCGTGTATGGATCTCCTCCACATGAGTTATATTTGCAATTATGGACCATGTGTTGTGACATGACTTTGGGCAGACCTGTTTCAGTTTTAGCACCCACACTAGGGCCGGTGTACCGAAGCCAAGATATTTTTCTCTAGCCCACACGATTTGGACCAACTTGGGGCCAAATCAATTTGTCTCCTGGGAGGAGCTGAGCGCGAGTTCCTACTTGGGTCAGAGTCAGAGGACCTAAAATTAGCAATCTGCTCTGTTTTGGAACATTTTATTGCACTTTCTATGAATTCTTACTCCACAAACTCTCTTGAAAGCTGAATTGTAATGTTTAAACCAAATGAATGAAACGATCAGATCACCATATACCTTTTTCAGCTTGTTTTTAGTTGGGCTGAGCTGCCTGGTGTAGGTAGTGGTGGTATCAGGCTCCCAGTCCATCTGCTCACAGGGCAGCTCCACCACCCCCAGCGCAGCCTCTCTCAGGCCTGAGAAGTCCCTGCTGTAGACGGCCAGTCTTAAGGTGCAGGTGCGCAGCTCTTCCACGCTTCCCACCTGCAGCACAAAGCTCTGACTATGGAGCTCTGGACTGAGGCTGCGCCTCCTTGAGGCTATCTGCTGAGGGGACGGACAGAGTGGAGGAAGGCTGGCCCGAACAAACACACCACTACGCCTTCGACTGGCCCCCGAGAACCCCAGGATGTTGACCACCAGATTGCCACCGGCAGAAGAGAAGAGCAGGGAGAAGTGCAACAGAGGAGCTGACTTGGAGAGGATGGAGACAGAGTTCAAGCCGTACTGTGACGTACAGGACTCCCCCTGCTGGACAGGAGATCCGGCGGCAGCTGCAGTCAAACAGCTGCTCTCACTGTAGATTAAACTTTCACCACTCACGGTGCTGCGCCGACCCATCGCCCGACGGGATTTAGACACAAAACTCAGCTTAGTGATGGACGGCAAAGAGGCTCTGCCGTGACTTGGAGGTTTGTTAGGTGAGCAGGGAACAGCTGGAGTGCTGAGGCGCCGCATTGGGAAAGTAGATCTAGACTGCACCAGCTCAGCAGACCTGGTGGGGCTGCGGTCAAAGGGCAGAGCAGTGAGATCATCCTCAGAGGGAGAAGAGCTGCTTTTAGAGGACGGAAAGTCCAGCACATCCCCATCCAGCTCCTCATACTGCTGCTTGACAGGCTGCGTGCACAGAGATGGAGTCAATGTCACGGTGACCCTCTCAGCAGGATGAGGAGACAAGAAAACTGCCTCTTTGTCATCCGATGAAACACTCTTCTTTCTGCGACAGCAAAGGATGCAGCCAATGACCAGGCAATAGCAGAACACAGCCAGACCCACAGCCAGCAGGATCTGCAGGTGGACTGGAAAACAAAGCAACAATCGAAGGTTAATATTGTGTTAGTGGAATTGATGAGGAGCACGAGAAGCTGAGACAGAGTGAATCTGTAAGTGAGCAGGACAAGAGAAAAACCAGAAAAGAGAGTCTTAAAATAATTAACATCATCACAGACAAATCAGCTTCTGAGTTTGACTTAAAATGAAGCAAAATTTATGACAAAAGATGTAACTCTAAACCATTATCCTGTTGTCTCTGCGCTCTGTGTCCTTGATTCGATTAAAGAGGAAATGTTATAATCATATTTGTATAAATGATATTGCTGCAGTTGCTGTTTGGATCCAAGGCAGGAGCAGTGCTCATGCCAAGCACTGGTGGCAACGCTTTGCTTTCAGATCGTGTGTGTGCGCGTGTGTGTGCATGTGTGTGTGTGTGTGTGCATGTGTGTGTGTGTGTGTGTGTGTGTGTGTGTCTTTATCATTCCAGCATCTGATTGTAAACCGATGGTTTTTAGTATTACTACAAAAGAAAAACAATAAGTTGAATAAAACATACTAACTGTCTTGAACATAATGCTTTTGCATAATTTTATTCAGATTCTCTTTAACTTCAGCACATTGTAATAAACACCTTTAAAAACATAAAACCTTAAACAGAATATTGAAGTGAATGGATGTTAAAGTGGAAGCGCGCTGCTCATTTAACACCACATAATCAGGGTGTTCTGGGATGACTCATAGTGGCGAAAATGGAAAGCTGTGAACGTCATCCAGTGACCACTGCAGCGTAAACAACCATCAATGAGAGTGAAAACCATTCACTGTAAAGAGCTTGACGGGTTATTTTTGGTATTAACTATTAAGTTTAAACTCACCACATCTTTGCTGAGAACAGATTAAGTTCATTTCACACTAATCGGGGGTGTTTCCCTCCCATCAATATAATTCTTATCACAGCAGACTTATCAAAATAAAAGCACACTGCATGAGGTGCATCCTCGGCTCCTTAAGATCCACAGAGATGAGATCACTATCAATGTAAGTGGGTGCTAACTGTCAGTGCAGATCCATTTCAGCCCCGACAGAGAACCAGTCCAGGAGCAGCAGCTCCTCCATTAGGAGATGAAAGTGCAGAAGGGGTGGCATACTGCAGGGATGTAAAATAAGGGCCGGTGGCTCGCTTTAAAATGTGGCTCCGTCTGTTCAGCCAGGGACCGTTTTTATGCACTAAATGATGTACTGGTGAATCTGAGTGCTGCCAATTCAGCATTTAATGCAGAATGTTTTCCTCTTGAAGGAAATATTTGCACTTTGCTGCTGTGGTGTGCATGGGTTGCTATGTAGACCTAATCATGCATAAAGTAACGGCAAATGACATGCAATTACCCCTTCTCTAGAATAATCTTTTTTTTTTTTTTGTCTACAAAAGTCTTTGTGCTTGTTGTGAGCTCCATGGTTCATGCCTCAGTTGTCTCAATGCAAAGACCCTCCTTTCTTTCAGCTTTTTCCTCCACTTCTCTTCAACTACTCCTCATGTTTGAGGTCAGTTAAACAGGATTAATTAGCAAACAAAGAAACAAACATCAGTGTTATGTCCTGGGATTGTCGACTTTTCTGTTGGAAAAACATGCAATTAAGCTACAAATAAGATCAAGCCTGAGGGAATACAGATTGCAAACTAACAAAATGAAAAGAAAGCAGCTCAAAAGCATGTCCTACCTCCCAGAGTGTACTGCGACATGGTCCTGTGGTTTGGTGTGTGTGGACTCAGTGTGCGCGCTGCTGCTGAGAGCTCTCCATCTCAGTGCGCACAGACCTGCAGCTCCCAGCCAATAGCTGCACCGGCTGACCGAGCTTTTATGTCAGCGGCACCGACTAGAGGCAGGAAAGGTCCTGCCTTCTTTAAAACAGCTCAGCCTACCAGTTTCACTGTGCACTCTCATTTTATTACAGCTGTTAGGCCTTTACTGTTCATCCCCTCTGCTAATTGTGGATCAAACTACAGCAGTCTGACTGAGAGCTAGAGAAAACACTTGATGGCAGTGATTGGCTGAAAGAGTTGTTCAACAAAATACCAGTGTACGGGTCCCATCATGCTTGTTTGGTTGTTTTTTGTTTGTTTGTTTGTTTTTATATTTCTGGTAAACCACAAGTCAAAAGCAATGTCATGAGTTTCATTACATTTTTATTTATTATTACTTTTGTCAATTTCAACACATTTCAGTAACAGCTGTGTTTTTCCTTCTCTAATGGAAGGGTATGAATAATGTAGCTCATCATCTCAGCAGTAACTTAAAGCCACGTTGGTGTTTACCACTGATTTAATGTCGAAGACCAACTTTAAAAATATACATGCATTCAGCAAAGTCAAGAGAAAGAAAGTGTATGGGAATTATTGGAAGTTAAGGTGTGACATGTCTCATAAGTTTTTTTCTTATTTCTTCTTCTTTGTTTCTTTTTTTTTTTTAGGAAATTGGCCAAATAGTATTTTTCTTTCTTGTTTTTTTTTTGTCATTTACCCTTATACTTTGCTTACCTAAGCAAGACTACTATGTAGAAGTACATTGAAAATTATAGATAATATATATAAGATTATTTATGTGGCAGTCCATTGAAAACCTGGAACAGTTAGTAAAGTTGTGCTTTTTTTTTCTTTTTTCTTTTTTTTTTTAAATGAACCTTTTGTTGTTGGTGCATGAATGCAAAACTGTCTTTTCATCAGGTGGCTTAGAAAGTGTAGCCAAAGACAAAAATGAAATTTGGCACATGAAGCTGCAGCAGCCCTTCACTTTATGCTCGCTACTCTGAGAGTAAGAGCCGACCAGCTCCTCTGCAGATGCTGCAAGACGTTCACACTGTGCTCGTGGATGTATTCCTGCTATTTTGCTGGTTTTTACTCAGATTTCACTTTTTTTTTTGTTTTTTTTTTTAAATGAAAGTTAATCCTAACATAAACTGCATAAGGTAAACAAAGGACTCCTACGTCCAAGTGTCCTTGTTCTGTTGAGGAAACCCACCCAGTTGAACCATCACACAGTGTCCATTCAGCATTTTGTTTCTTTCTTTTGGCTGCAGGTTCTGGGTCAGTCTTCCTTTGTTCAGCAGTTTGTTTACAGAGTTCTTTAAAGTAGGTTTCATTCTGACAATGCTGAAGAGTCTGCTCAAGAGCTTTAACTAAATCCACAGCTAAACCTAAATCATACACACTTTAGCTCATAAAAACACGTACAGATTCTTTATTTACATTTTTTTAATATGTGTTTTTAATACTGTCGAGACACTTCTTTTTATTTTTGCTACAAAATCAGTGTGAAAATGTTCTGTTTAATCAGAACTACGTGGTTGTATGAGGATGAATGGGGGATGTTTGTGCTGTAAAAAATGTGTCTATATATAGAAATGCAAATGCACATTCACCCTGACCTGTAGTTCATACACATATCACCGTCTGGGATCTACCACCTACACATTCACGACAATAACAGAGTGCGTCAGTTCTTTGCATATACAAAGCTACTGCACACATTTGTGAACATGTGCTCTCTCTCCTCTTTCACCTTCTTTTGCACAAACAAAATGTGGAGTGTAGGTTACAGAGAACATCTTCATACACACTGCTTTTTGTTCAGAACCAATCTGAGCTAATGATTCATCACTGAATGCTGGGGAAAAAAAGCCCCTCCTTAAAGTGAAGAGGCGGCTCACATTTCAGCGATTTTCATGTTTATTTATGTGTTTTTTTGTTATAGATTAGTTCCCTCTGCATGTATGTTCCAAACACATGATGCTGAAGACCCTCCGAAGCAGAATAACGTCATAATATCACAGCAGTCTGCATGTTCATTTTAGGCAGTGTTTTCATTCTGAAAGATAAATGACCAACAATGGTTATAACCTCTTCTTTGGATGATCTCACAGAGGACCAGGGGCTCAGTGTGGTACCACCAGTAACTGGGTTTAAGGAGTTGTTTTGGTGTCTTGATAGGAGTTTGGGTTCAGACACTTGTGATGTGTTCTGCATTTCTGCCAAACTCCGAACCGCCAACCTTAGAGGTTCCAGAAAGGTTCCAGCAGTCACTGCACAGATGTTATTTGAGACCTTTCTGTCACTCTTTAACGCAGTCTTTTTGAATTTGTACTCAAAATAATATGTGATACAGCCACCAAATGTCTATCTTTGATCTACTTACTTTATGTTTTAAGCGTTGCTGCCTGAGATTTAGGTGGTGCATTTTGCCTGAAGTGAAATATAAGGATGGTCCTGTTGTTTGAAGTTAAGACAGATTCAAAGTAGATCAGAGCTGCTTCCTCTATGCACGGCCACTAGAGGGCAGAAGGGGAACTTGCAGCGAGTGAACTTCTAACAGGTTGTACATATGATTCTAACAGAGTATTCAGTATCCTTTAATATCATGCACTGTCGGTGTAAACCATGTGGATATTTAAGATAACTCAGTGGAAGAAAATGTAGAAGTTACTCAGAAGCAGGAAACCTCTTTCTCTCTGGATTTTGTAGTTTGGATCTGCTTCTGTTCACATGTAAGCAGCACATCGTCTTTCTTTTGCTCATCTTTACTCTTTTCATCTCACTTCTGCAGTCAAAGCGATACTGAATACCTTTGCCTCTTCGCCACATCACATCACAAGGATGAAGTTCCAAATCAGCAGAACCTGCATCCATAAAGACTTTCTAAATGAATATTGTCTTCTTCTGCTTCATTTCCTTCACTTCTTTCAAACCTTCTTTATAATCTCTCAGCTCAGAGGCAGGCTGAAGGGGGTCCCTGGACTGATTCTGTTCGGGAGTTTAGCAGAACATGTGCTGATTGGCTTCATCACTTACCTTTAATGAGCCGCTCTGTGCAGGTTGTGAATTGTGTAAAACAATGGGGCAAATTAGAGATCTGTGTGCATGTGAATGCTAAGAAATGAGCCACCTTGTGTTGTTGGTGTATGAATGCAAAACTATCTCTCCATCAGGCGGCTTAGAAAGTGTAGCAGAA